ACCCCGATAGCCACTCGTGATGATCATGAATGGATCAGACGATTTTGAAAACAAATTTGGATCAAATTTGAAACATATGTTCTACATTCAATGAATAAAAATATATACTAGTAAATAAATGATCAAATTTAGGAATTAAAAATCAGTAAACCAGTTGTTGAATTTTTGCGACAAACTATTTACGTAAAATAGCTGTCATATTTACTAAATTTCTTTCTAAATAAGTATGAGCGCAATATAACGTCATATGAACGATATTTCATGTATTCATACATTTACAAAAATTATCTGTAATTTTATGACGACATTACATGAAGAAAAGTTTATGCAAAAAAATGAATTATTACGATTATACACAAAATTGCATAAACATGCCATAATATTTATGAAGAAAAAAAAGTGATTTTAATTATTAAATCTTTACACCAAATTTACATCACATAAATTGTAAATTTGTTGTAAACTTTTGGTAAATTAAATAAAATAAAACGTCTGACTTGAACAACCGACAGACAGACCGCCGGGTTAATTTCTCGAATTTACAGACATAAAGACAATTTTGTTCTTCAGTCATCAGTTTTCGGTTACACTTTAACGCAATAAGTTGTCACGGAAATTTAAAAAGTGTTGGTTGTTATCCAATAAGTTACAGTTTTCAAAAATGTGAGTTACAAAATACATACATTAGGTATATCGTCTCAATAATAACTTCATGTTATAAAATAATCTTTTCTTTTAGTTATTATTAAACATAAGACTCTGGAATTTTGTTAAAGCGTTAGTATAGCTTTTCAAAAGCATCACTAATGCAAGCTAATAATTCAAGTAATCAAGACCTAGTCTATGAAGATCTAACAAATATATATTCAGTAGAGAAGCTGGATATTATCAACCACATATAATCCAGAATCCAGGAAAACATTAATAATAATACAACATCCTCGTACTTTTGAAGAGAAGATGTTAAAATCATTGTCAAACATGGAGTAAGTTTTGTCAGAAGATTTGGGCAATTTTATATCACTTCAAAGAAAATGAACACAGAAAAACAGTGACAGTGAATATGATATACCAAAAATTAATATATAACCTTTATATATATACATAGATTTATATAAACATATTTTTTATAAATTAATCATTTTTATATTCTTTTTGTTAAAACCATAGGTATAATATGTTTCATATAATTTCATAATATACTTTAAAAATGTAAAAGGAATTTATATAAAACATTAATTCTACAATATTTTTTTTGTATATGTATGTAGCTACTGTATAACGTAATACTAATAAATACGAAAATAATTGATTAAAATATTTTAATTGTATACAGTTTGCTAATTTATTTCAAACAATATATAATGAATTGTATAAAATATTACATACAATTGTAAATACAATTCATTATAAATACTTTGAAATAAGCATTTTAGCAAAATGATGTGTACGATTAAAAAATATTAATTAATTATTTTCAAATATGTATATACCTTTCAATTTTTTTACCGTCAATTATTTACCATCATATCATGAGTTAAAATTTATCTAAATATGATGAGAAACATTGCTGCATGTAGTACAGTAAATCTTGCCCTCATATGTGCCTCATAGGTTTCTTCATTTCAATGTCTTAAATGGTATGTCTATTTTACGTAAATTACGAAAGTAATTCAATTTACGAAAAGTTGTCTTCGTGTTTAGTATTCGTTTGACTCATGAAATGCAGACAATATGTTACAAATTTTTACGTTCACAAGGTGAGCAACCTTTACACATGTCGTGATGATACGAATAGTAAATTTTTCGTAAATATGAACTAAATGTGGCTATCGGGGAAGTTTGATTAGTTTACGTATATAAATGTAGATTTATGTTATGTTAATTTTTTCATTTTTCTCATATTTGCATATAAATCCGTACAACCGTTATTGCCGTCACTCACCTAAGAACTACGGATAATTGAAATTAAAAAAAGAGATGAAAGGTCAAGGAATCCATGGGCAAAAAGTACGGAAAATCTTAGACAGAAGTACTATGACATTACAATAGGAAAACCAGTTGGTATAGCAGAAAAAGAAATAGAGAAATCTAGTCAAAATTGCCATGCTTAGATGGTACTGAAATAACAAAATATGCACTGTTGTGGTAACAACGCCCTTTGATAATACATAATTTAATGGATTTACTGCATGGGGTTTGCTAAAAGGGAGTACATAAGTAGAAATTCTTACTGTGATATGTGTAAATAATAAATTTTAAAATAAAATAATAAATAATAAAATGACTTNNNATAATAAAATGACTTTATTTTCTACTTAAGTATTAATAAATCATTCATTAATTTTCTTCTCTCATTATCTTGCTTTGAATAATTTTTGTAATATTTCCATCCACATTTGGAATAGTGGTGCCTGTTCTAATAGCAATCTAAAATATAAGTAAAAATAGTATTAATAAGTAGTTCTGCCTTGCAATGCATGCTATTAATTTGCAATAAATGTACTAATAGCGCATACCTCAATTTGTTGAACCAATTGTACTTCCTTAGGTCCTGTAATAAAATTAGTAACTTTACAATTTGCTGGACTGCCAATTCTTCCAATTCTTCCAATCCTATGAATATAATCAGAAGCATAGAGGGGAAAATCATAATTTATAACATGTTTAACTTGTACAGTATTTAGGCCTCTAGAACAGATATCTGTAGATGATAAGATTTTATTTTCACCAGAAAGAAATTGATTCCATTGCTGTATTCTAATGGCGAAGTTCATATCTCCATTAATATTAGAGCATTTTAATCCATTTTCTCTCAAAAATAATGCAACCCAATTGGATGTTTCATTTCGATTACTAAATATTATCATTGGAGCACTCGCTTTCTTTGCATGACTTAACAGTTCAGATGGCTTGGAGGTTTTTGATAAGCGTAAAAAGTGTTGCTTAATGTTAAACAATGGCATGTGCACTTTTGGGGAGATTATCTGAGTCAACGCAGCCTCTATAGGTTTCAAGTACTCTGGTAAGTTTTTAGGAATAGTAGCAGATACCAACACTATTTGACTTTGTACAGTCTTCTTTAAAATTACAGCCACCCTTTCTTCAAAACTATCATCTAAAAGTGTGTCTGCTTCATCTATAATTGTATGCTGTACATCATTTAACTTAATTATTCCTACAGTACTTAATTTAGAAATTACCCCTGGTGTTCCAATAAGTATATCAATTTCAGAGAATTCAGGGTTGACCATAATTTTTTTAGTTCTACCTCCAATAATGGTTTTGATTTTTAAATTTGTAACTTCACACAGCTTCTGTGCTACATTTCCTATTTGAAGAGCTAATTCACGGTTTGGAATTAAAATAAGTGCCTTTGGTGTGTTTACATTAGTTGCTGGATTATTAATCAATTTTTCTATGATGGGAAGTAAATATGAGATTGTCTTTCCACTACCTGTTTCAGCTGCAACAAGTGCATGCTTTCCAGTTTTAAGATAATCAATTACCTTTTCCTGGAAAGGAGTAGCACTATATATTTTTTCCTTTCTAAGAGCATCAGCTAGGAAGCTCTTCGTAAGAAAATGGAAAGGTTTCGTATCCTCTTCTATATTCAATTGAGGGTGAATAATAAAATAGTCTCCTTTAGATTTATTATGTGTCCATCCTTTTGAAGCTAATTTTATCGCTTCAAATTTTGTAACCTTGTTATTCTTATAATAATTAAAATCCGAACGCTTACAGCTTATTAAAGGATCTTTTATACTCTCAGGAGACCTCAGATAATTCAGTGAATAATATCTTACTAGTTTAACGATATGAAAATAGGATGCTATAAAGCTATTCGAAGTAATCATTTCTAACTGTATACCAGTCACTATAAAAATTATTGGTTATGGTCATAGATAGTTATGGTCATAGATAAAGGATTATAGTGGATTTTTATCTACGGTTATGTTTATCAACCATAGATAAGAAATATATAATCCTTACGCTATAACACTATAATCTCTTAGGTATGGTTATCAACTATCAACATTATTGCTGTGTTGAATTCCATGCTTTGAGGAAATGGGCTTTGTGAAGTTGCCATATATACATTTATTTTATTTTATTAATTAATTTATTTATTTGATAAGTACACTAGAATAATCCCAATTAGAATATTTGAAATTATTGAAATCAACAAAGATTCAGTCACTCAATCCACATTCGATCATTCAATAAATCAAAGTGTATAAGTCACTCCATTGACATAACTTTGCTCAATTAGTAACATATTAACTAACGCTTATTATCTTTAACCAATTCTTTATTATCACATAGGCTTACACTATACAATGTTAAAACTAAAGATCATTAATCTTCCAAAACTAAATACAAAATTTATTCATATTTAATAAGTTTGCTATTTACTTTACATTTAAATGAACCAATGCGTTCATAGAACTAATCTACATCTCCAGATAAGTCATTTCATAACTGCAGCAATCTATCCAATACTGAGCGATTTTCGTAGTTTCGTCGCAACACAAATGTTTGTAGGTACTCTCTGCCTCAGTTCTCGTGATGGTATGTAGATTCCTGTCCTACCGAATAGATAAAAGGAATCCACACAGCCATATAAAATTTTATATAAATAGCAAGCATCAGCATAACTTCTAAGAGATGACAAAGAACACAAACCAATGCTATTCGCTATACTACTATAATCATGAGAGTATACCTCCATTAGACATCTAATTTTATACTA